AACGCCTCGCTACCCACTGGGTCAAAACGAGGTTACCAGAGGGCGTAGCGGAATTGCACGTTCACATCTCACATGCGTTGCACACATCCCCCCCTGCGCCAACGTCCTCGTTGGCTCAGGGAGTCAGCCCCGCAAGGACCTCGAGTTTCGGCTGGTGTCACAAGTTAGCGACTTTGTGGTGATGCACAACGGTTACTAGGATCGTTCGCTGGGTTTGCCTCTGGCTACAGATTCAAGTTCTCGCCGAGGGCGAAAATGTGACCAGCTGGGATTCGAACACTAGGCCTCTTAAACCATTATGACGCCTTGCTACCCACTAGGTCAAAACGAAGTTACCAGAGGGGCGCAGCGGAATTGCACGTTCAGATCTCAGGTATGTAACAGTGGCAGTGGCATGCATGGGATGTGGCAGTGACATGCATGGCAGTGGCAGTGGCATGCATGGCATGTGGCAGTTGCATGTATGGCATGTGGCAGTGGCATGTGCGGCATCCGGTAGTAACATGTATGGCACATGGCAATGCCATGTATGGCATGCGGCATTGGCATGTACGGCGTATGGCAGTGGCATGTACGGCATGCGGCAGCAGCATGTACGACATGTGGCAGTGGCATGTATGGCATGTGGCAGTGGCATGTATGGCATGTGACAGTAACATACATGGCATATGGCAGCTCACCATGCATTGATTGCTGGCGATGACTCCCCCCAGCCGACTGATAGTGGCAGATGAGAGGGCAGGCGATGCGCGGGGGAGAGGGAGGTGCGCCGAAGAGAGGGAGGTGCGGAACAACCATAGCAGCAGCAGCAGCAGCAGTAGTAGCAGCAACGCAGTGATGGAATACTTAGAAGTTGCACAGTCGAGCTGGATTCATTCCATCTGATGGGTGTGCAGAGAGCGAGTGGAGAAGGGTGGAGAGTGTATGAGGTGTGTTGTACCGAGTGCGCAGCAAATCTGACTTCATCCCTGCCCGCCCAAGTGAATGTGCGTGCTCTTGACGATAGCATGCAGATTTGGAGGAGGGGAGGATAGAGAGAAGGAAGGGGGATGCCGACGACATGCTGAATGTTATGTGCTGACTGACAGGCTTAGGTTTAGGCTCAGAATTAGGGTCAGGGTCAGGGTCAGGGTCAGGGTCAGGGTCAGGGTCAGGGTCAGGGTCAGGGTCAAGGTCAGGGTCAGGGTCAGGGTCAGGGTCAGGGTCAGGGTCAGGGTCAGTGTCAAGGTCAGGCAGGCAGTGTCAGGGTCAGGGTCAGGGTCAGGGTCAGGGTCAGGGTCAGGGTCAGGGTCAGGGTCAGGGTCAGGGTCAGGGTCAGGGTCAGGGTCAGGGCTTCAAGTCTGCCAGATGAATGTGTATGCAATTATAGACAGCACGCAACTGTGGAGGAGCAGAGCGAGAAGGGAACATAGGAGAGGGGGCACGGGGGCAAGAGCAAGGGAGAAGATTGTGGTTCTCTTAAAGAGGACAACCTGGATCGTTACCTTCAGTCAGTGGAGGCACCGCGCGAGCAATGCCAACAGAAGCATCTTTATCAACAGCATCAGCAGCTTGAGTATTTTGCGTAGCATGAGCATAACGAGCAACAGCATCAGCATCATGAGCAGCATCAGCATCATGAGCAGCACCAGCATCATGAGCAACATGACCAAATGCAGCAGCCGCCGTCGCCATTGCTACCGAGTCGCACCTCCTCCCTTTGTAGTACCGTTGCTATAAAGGGAGCTTCTGTGAAACCTGGGGAATCCTGGTCTGATTCCTTCCCTACGGCTATAGCAGCTGTAGCAGCAGTGCAGCAGCCCAAGGCCTTGGAACCTGCGGAAACCACCACTGGGACAGGTACATTTGAGGCGCATGCATCCTGGTCTAAATCCTTTCTAGCAGCGGCAGCTCGGCAGCCAAAAGGCCTCAGAAACACGAAAACCCACCACCGTGACAGAGACTTATGAGGCTCATGCATTCTGGTCTAATTGCTTCCCTGCAATAACAGCAGCGCACTCCAAGGGTCCGGAGCCCGCTACAACCATGACAGGTGCATCTGTGGAGTCCGCAACGCAACCCTAGAGTTTGGAACCCGCTACTATTGGCCCTTCAAGGGCTTCAAGGCAAGTGCAAGCACGGGTTCACCGAACTATACTTCTAGTCGACTCCAGACACGCCAGCTCAGCCAGAGGGCTTGGAACGTGCTGCTCCCGGCAGGCCATCAAAATCGTCTTTGAGAGTGCAAGGACAAGCTTCTGCCAAACTGATAAAGTGCCCTGTGCCATTGCAAAGTAATGCTTTGAAGGGTTTGGAACCTGCCACCACCGGACCATCAAGTCCATCATTAAGGGCTCAAGCACGACCTTTCTCATACCTGGTGATGCGGCACTCGGTTACCATGACTGAATGTAACGCTTCCAAGGAAGGTATGGGTCACGTGGAGGCATCACCAAGTGACACATTAGCTTACACTCCCACTGGAGACTGGCTTGTGGATACCTTCATGCGGGCAAGAAACCGTTCCTTCCCAATACCCCGATTGCTTTACAAGGGCCTTGCTGCTTCTGCTTCTGCCGCCGCTGCTGCTGCTGCTCGTTCTTCTGCTCCTCCTCTTGCTTCTGATGTCCCTGTCGCTCTTGCTTCTGCAGGTAATGTCGCATCTGCCGCTGCACTTAGCAGCGCTAGCGATGCCTTGGGCTCCTGTCTGTCGTTATGGACTAGTACGAGCACGTTGCCAGTTGAGGCAACGTGTTGCTAATATCGCATCTGCAAGCATAAGTGATCCTGTTTCTAGAGGCTAGAGCAAGGGGTATGAAAGTACCAGCTGCTTCAAGCGACCGTGGCGACATCTTTCTGGTGCGTCAGGGCTGAGCAGCTTGACCAGCATTAAGATGATAGGTTGTGATGATAATGACGAATATGGTGTTGTCAGATGTGGGTTCACAGGGCCTCCTGCATAATTGTTGGAAGCAGTACCGACCCATAGGGGCTGCTCCGGGCGCATGACTCAAAGTAGGAGACAACGAATGTAGTAGCAGTTCAGGTGATACAGAGCAACTCCATTAGCATTGTATTCAATTTCCGAGGATTTGAAATATTATGTCGAAAAATCATTGTCGTTGCTGCCAGGCCTAGTGCCCTTCCATGTCCACATCAGTTGGTTTTGACCCTGTAACTTGCTCAAGCCTATTTGGGTGTGTCTTGGAGCTATAATGTTGATTATTAAAACAGATACGTACTCACTACACTTGTAAATGATTCGCACCAACTGTTTGCGCTTATCTGATTTGAAGGGAAGATTCACCTCAGTCATGGCTGCCATTCAGCGCACTCAATTGTGCGGGAAAGCTCCAGCTGAACGCCAGCTGGTCGCCAGCTAGCACTTTACTGGCTCGAATTTGCGGCCGTGTACATTCGAGCCAATGAACTCTGCCTGCACGGTGGCTAATTTCGTCCCGTCAGGCTGCCCAAGAACTCTGCACACCCCGATATCTTTGTCGATTGACACACAAACTCGAGTCACATTTTGCCCGTTCGTTCTTGGAGGCCATCCTTTGGTGACAGGTTTCCCTAACCCACCAGAACCGTGTTCTTTACTTCAGTCCGCTATTCGTGCCTCCGCCACGAACGAGTATGTCGCTCCGTACATTACTCATGTCGTTTATTAACATGTGGTTACGTGTCACGTGTCTCATGCCGCCCCGCTCCGTAGCGACTTTAGTTCGTCCTGATCTTCGTCTTCTCCATTCCAGCGCTACAAGAAACAATACCTTAGCTCCTCAGCTTACAAAGCACTGTAACTTTCTTAACTCACATTTACTCTCACTGTAGCTAGATATACACCAGGTGTCCAGCGAGTCCCAGAAAATTGACCAATCACGGGCAACGGACCTTTGACCTGATGGTCCATTCACCTGGGATTTGTGGCACCTGCGACACGGTGGAGACCGGCATGTCCTTGCCAAAGAATTTCAAAGAATACGCCACCATTCAATTTTCCACAAAAACCGCGCATCAACGTGACGCACCGTAATGCACCTCTCATGTTTCTCACAAGGAGGTAGTTTTTAAAACTACGTTTTATGCAGGTCATAAATTCTGACACCAGGTTTATCCGTGTCCACTTTATGGCCCATTCTCCTGTGGCGAAGGCTTGCAAAATATGTGTGCGTATTACGCCCACGCGGTTTGTCTAAACCAACGATTTGTGGAGCGCAGCCGGTGTATTGTGTACAGTTGCACACCCTAAATCTCCTAATGTCACATTAAAAAAAAAAAACATCACAACCGCCCTAACCGTCCACTGCCCAGATCGGCTTCTGATCACATTGCTCCCGAAGCCATTTGTGAGTAGCCCGCACCCAAGCGACTTCTATTCGAGACATCAGTGTAAGACGGGTGGTTCTGTTTATTTCGTAATGCCCCATAATTTCCAAACGGGCGATTTTCAGAACTAAGCGAAAGGATGGAAAAAACGTACTCCGCTCTCCTTACCTCATGGTTTGGATTCGAGCAATCCGCGGCGATTCTCTTCTCTCCTCTCTCCTCTCCCACCATCCCCTCCTAAGGAGCATTCCATATCCATCCCACATATTCGGACCCGCCGCCTAGCACCAGTTCTTCTGACACTCTCATTTCATCTTAACCCTAAAACAAATCTCTCCTCACCTCACCCTCTGGCCTGACCCTTCCCCTTACAGTGGTGATGATTTTGTGTTCTGCGCCAACCTTGGAATCTCATCTCTCATCATCACCAGCGCATGGACGGTGACCGTCTCAACAACAACCGAGCCGCACGAAGCTAACAGAGAACATGATCTTCTTGTATAGCGGCGAGTCAGGCACACGACTCTTCTGGATTCTGGATCGCGGCCGCTTTCCACCAGAAGTATCTCGCCTCGCCTCGCCTCGCCTCACCTCGCCTCCTGTACACACAGACAGTAGCAACAGTACAGTACAGTACGACTGGCTAGGGTACACGACGAACCTGACTGAGTAGGGTAAGGTAGGCGAGGAGCGAGGTCTGGCACCACATGATCCGTGTTGAGAGGTCCCAAAACAAGATGACTGTACCATCTCTCGGCCTCCTCGCCGTATCTCATGACAATCCTCCTCTGGCCACTACAAGCGTCACGTTCAGAGAGTACAGGACTGTACAGTAGTACTGTCCATCGGACTCGAGAAAAAAACTGGATTCGCCGCTTCTCTCAGTCTTCCGTCTAGATTCCGAATTTGCCATCGATTGAAATGAACTGGCGCCAGTAATTCTAGACAGAAATGGCTTCTGCGGGCCTCCTCCTGGTGTGCATGGAAACCGACCGACCAACCCAACCCCCGAGGGTCGTCCACTGAAGAACTATCGTGACGGCGCCACGTGATCAGCACCATCATAGCTTATCACCACCGTGGTGACCACCTGTATTTCAACCACGGATATCGTGTGACGTGCCTCCGCCACGTGTCACCTCCACGTCACTGATGTGGCACATGACCGCACCGTCGCGTGGTCACCAGCTCAGAACGGTTGTGGGCTGAAATCGTGGAAAGGTAGTGGGCCCGTCTCGACCTGGCCAAGAAATCCACCCGTCCCCCACTACGTTGGTCTCCGACCATGGCGAAGACCCTCGAACGAGAGCGGTTTATCTCTCACGGTCCACGCGCTTGGAACGAGCATCCCTGCTAGGGTTCCGATGAGGGTTCCGGTGAGAGTTCCGGTGAGGGTTCCGTTTCCGAGTCTGCCGGCGATCCCGAATCCTACGAGCTAGTACTTAGTGGTAGTAGTACGTTCCTTTAATTAGTACTTCAAACCGCACCATCGCCCCATGTGTGCGCTATGAACTGCCAGTGCCGGCCAGTCTGCTCGTCCGACGGCTCAGAGCCATTGAATTCGACTCGGGAGTCCGAGTCGATCATGGACGATCCCAATCCCCCTGTCACGATCGCTGGGGCGTCGCAAACGCCTTCGTTATGGTCGCATGGGGACGCCCATGCGACGCAAGCGATGGCTCGGTCGTGGTCGTTCAGCGATGTGGCCCAGGCGACCACGCAAACGGCGCCGCCCCCCGCGGTCCGGCGTGGTCGCGATCGCGGTCGTTCAGCGACGTCAGGGCGGCGCAACTGGCGTCCTACGAAACGACCCCCCCCGCGGTCGCCGTGGTCGGCGTGGTCGCGCTCGTTCAGCGACGCCCAGGCGACGCAAAAGACGGCCCCTCAGTCATGGTCGTGGGCGCGGCCCGTACGGCGACGCCCAGGCGACGCAGATGGTGCGGTCGCGGTCGTTCAGCGACTTCCAGGCGACCGGGGAACGAAGCCGGTCATGGTCCTTAAGCGACGCCCTGGCGACCAGGAACGACGGGAAACAAGCGCTCATGGTCCCTAAGCGATTCCCTGCGACAGGGAACGACGAAAAACAAGCGGTCATGGTCCTTGAGCGACGCCCAGGCGACAGGAACGAAGCAGTCATGGCACCAATCCCAGCGGAGGCCGCCGCCGGGCCGCAACACGAGCGGCACGGGAGCAGCGAGCGACTCTCTGACTGGCTGGAAAACAGCCTTTTCTCCGCGAAACACGGTGACAGTCATGGCAGAGGCGCTGCTTCCCTTCCTTTCCTTCCTTCTGTTTCCTGCCACTCCTGCCGTCCCTGCGCCGCGGCACGAGCAGCAGCAGCACGGGAGCAGCCGCACCGGCGAGCGACTCTCAGACTGGCTGGAAACAGCCTTTTCTCCGTGAAACACGGTGACGGCTGGGGCGTTTCTGCCGCTCCTGCCCCGCAGCACGAGCAGCACGGCGGGAGCCGCGAGCGGCTCTCTGACTGGCTGGAAAACAGCCTTTTCCCCACGAACCGTGGCGTGGGCGTTTCTGCTGTTCCTGCTGTTCCTGTCGTTCCTGCGCCGCAGCACGAGCAGCAGCAGCACGGGAGCAGCGAGCGGCTCTCTGACTGGCTGGAAAAGAGCCTTCTCCCCTCGAAACACGCCAGGGGCGCTCCTGCTGCCTCCTGCTGCTCCTGCTGCTCCTCCCATCCCTGCCGCTCTTGCCGTCCCCGCCGTTCCTGCACCGCGCCGCCCGCCGCGTCACGGTTTACAGCAGTGCTGTGAATAGTAGGAGTCACCTTGTGACAGGGGCCAACACACGCCGGGGCGTTTCCCCATCACCCCATCCGCGTTTATAGTAGGACTCAGCGCAATGGCCCAGTGGCAGCGGAAGAGGCAGAGGCTGCTGCTGCTGCTGCTGCTGCGCCAGGAGCTGCTGCTGATGCTGCTGCTGCTGCTCCTGCTGCTGCTTTCGAGCGGAAGGGAGCTCTGAGTGCCAGTCCCATCGCATCCGGTACAAGTTGTGCTGTTCACCGGTTGCCAACTCTTGCCCCAATCGGTTGCACTGAGCGTCGGCCCGTACCAATCGATTGCACTGAGCACCGGCCCGCCCCAATTGGTTGCACTGAGCACCGGCCCGCCCCGATTGGTTGCACTGAGCGCCGGTCGCTTTTGAGTCAACTCAAAACGCTCCTGGACGGCCCGGTGCGGCGGTAGAGGCAGCAGAGGCCGCTGTTGCTACTGCTGCTGCTGCACCCGAGGGGAAGAGAACCCCGACTTCGAGACACAGTCCAAATCCCCTCTCAATCGGCTGCCCTGAGCAGCGCGGGGGAGAAACAGAACCTCGTGGGGAGAGGAATGGAACCCCCGTTGCAAGCCATGGGTCGGAATGGGCACCGGTTGCGCCAGGAGAGGAGTGCTGTTTCTGGGCAGTACAGTGCACCTCAGTGCAATTTCATCCCTCAGAATCACGCTCTGTGGCACCAGCTGCAGCAGCTGCAGGCGATGGGAGATTTCGAGGCGTGTAAGGAGCCCTCTCTTTCCGAGAGGGAAGGAACCTCCGTTTCTCAGGAGCAGGCTTCGTGGGGCCAGTTGCAAGAGGTGCAGGAGGCGCAGGAGGTGCAGCAAGTGCCACAAGTGCCGCAAGTGCAGGAGTTCGCTGCTAACAGGAGGGATGAGGCTCCTGGCTGTAAGAACCAGGGTCTGTGGGACAAGCTGCACGAAGTGCAGCAGTTGATAGAGCTGCTCCAGCGGCACAAGTCGCAGGAGGTGCAGCAGTGGCATGAGTCACAGGAGCAGCCGGAGCAGCTGCAGATGCTGTTTGATCCGCACGGTCTGCAGCAGCGGCGTGCGTCGCAGGAGTCGCAGGAGCAACGGGATCTGCAGATGCTGCCTGAGCCGCAGGGTCTGCAGCAGTGGCGTGAGTCGCATGAGTCGCAGGAGTCTCAGGAGCAGGGGGGTCTGCAGATGCTATCTGAGCCGCACAAGATGGAAATTTCTGAGGCGTCTCAGGAGTTTTCTTCCAGCAAGAAAGAAGAACCTTCCGTTTCTCAAAGCCAGGTTTCATGGACCGACTTGCAGGATCTGCAGAATCAGCAAGATCAGCAAGATCTGCAGGATCTGCAGGTGCTGTGTGAGCTGCAGGCGATGGAAGACTTGAGGCTTCAAAGGAGCTTACTTCGAGCAAGAGGAATGAAACTCACTCTTCTCAAAGTCAGGCTTCGAGTGACCAGTTGCAGAACCCGCAGCATCTGAAGCAGGTGCAGGATCTGCAGAATCTGGATCTACAGGATGTAGAGCAGCTGTTGGTTTTGCAGGATCTGCAAGCGGCTCAGCATCTCACAGACGGCAAGAGCCTCTGCGGCAAGGCTGCTGCAGGGGTAGAAGCTTCTGCAGAAGCTTCTACAGGAGAAAATTCAAGTCCAGAGCTTGTTATTGGGTTGGCGGAGGATGGATCCATTGCTGTTGTGGCTAAAGGTGTGGATAAGAGGAGACGGCTGGGGCAGACAGAGGATGAGGCTCGCCTGGGGGCTGCAGGGCATGAGGCTCACCCAGGGGCTGCAGGGAATCAGATGCTTAGTGCACCAGAAACATCGGCGCCTGCAGAAGCAGCAGAGGGCGCATGGCCACCATATGCGGAAGCTGCAGAGGGCTCAGGGTCACCAGCTGCAGAATCAGCAACAGCAGCATTGGCAGCAGCAGTGGTGGCGCCAGCACCTACCAGCAGGGTCGACAGGCTCAGCACGAGCTGCAGGAGCGGCAACACCACCAGCACGAGCATGGTCGCCACAGGCTACAGGGGCGGCTGCCAGGGCGCCACTATGGAGCTGGTTTATCAGCAACACTACTTTGTTACATGCAGTAGTGTAACTATATAACATCATATCTATGTTTCAGTGTAGCAATGAAATTATACTCTCTAGTCTCCAAGCTAGCCATGGGGCTCCCTTTGCCTTTGTGACACATCATCGACAGAAGTGATCTGGACCAGACCAAACCGCCTCCCATCCCTCAGCACCACAGGCTCTCCCTGGTCTCAACCCGGGTACCTGTGTTGACTCCTTTGGCCTAGCGACACATGAGCCGCCACTGTGCGTTGTCCACTATGGCTCCCTTGGATTGGCCGTTCAGGCTACTATTCCCATCTCTCAGCACCCGAGGCTCTCCCTGGTCTCCACTCCAGTCACTGGGTTCACCCCCTTGGCCTTCCGGCACATCAGCCGCCGCTGTGCGTCGTCCACTATGGCGTCTGTGAAGTCCGCTCCTGTCACATCCGCCCCTGCAAGCAGTTGATCGAGGTGGGAGAACCAGGGGTGGGGTAGCAGGGATGTGAACCATAAGAGCCGGAGAGGTGACACAAGAGCCACCGCTGTGCGTTGTGCACTCTGGCATCCGTGAAGTCCGCTCCCGTCACATCCCCTCCTGCTAGCAGGTGGAAGAGGTGGGATCACACAGGCCTGCTTCTGAGTCGACTCAAAAGCTGTGCCTTGTCCACTGCGGCATCCATAAAGTCTGCCCCCAACACATCCTCCTGCAAGCAGCTGACAGGGGTGGATAACCAAGGGATGTGGTAGCAGGGATGTGAACTGTGAGAACCGGAGAGAAGGCACATGAGCCGGCGCTGTGCGTTGTCCACTATGGCATCCGTGAAGTCCGCTCCTGTCACATCCGCGCCTGCAGTCTAAGGGACATGGACGCAAAGGGGCGACCACAGGGGTTGTGGAACCACCATCAGCCGCCGCTGTGCGTTGTCCACTATGGCGCCTCTGAAATCCGCTCCCGTCACATCCGCTCATGCAGGCAGCTGGCAGAGGTGGATATCAAGGGACGTGGTGACAGGGATGTGAACTGTGAGAGCCGGAGAGGTGACACAGGAGCTGCCGCTGTGCGTGGTCCACTACGGCATCCGTGAAATCCGCTCCTGTAACGTCAGCACCAGCAGGCAGCTGGTAGAGGTGGGATGGCAAGGAGCGAAACCGGGGGGTTTAACTAGCCAATGTGCTTTGTCCACCAAAACATATGTGAACGAAAAGAAGTTTAAAGAACGAAGCACATGAACATAGGGTGATGGACCAGGGATGTGCAAACGACAAAGATGCACCAGCGAATGGAGACAGAAGAGAGCTTACCCTCGAACTGTGAACCAGAATGAATCGCATTAGTGAAGTTTGCTGGCAGGGGGTGAGTAAAGGGGGAAGGGGGAAGGGGAAGAAGCGAGAAGGAGGAAGGGGGAAGGGGAAGGGGGGGGGAGGTGGAGGGGGAGGTCAGAAAACCAAGGTAGCAACGTGGTAAGAGAGAAGGAGGCAACGTCGTAAGAGAGATTTGCAACGAAGCATGTGAGAAACGGAGCTCCTTGAAAAGAGAGAAGGAGCTCATAACACACAAATGGGCGAATCCAATGCAGGATAGAGAAGGGATATAGGCAGAGGAGAAGAGAAGAGACGAGAAGAGATGAGAAGAGAAGAGAAGAGAAGAGAAGAGAAGGGCACACTCAAAAGGTTTCAAGGGAACAGCAAAAAGCCGTTCAAAGAAGATTAAAAAAGAAAGATAGAAAGAAGGATGCGGCTTGAAACGGCTAGCAAGAAGCACGCTTTTGGGTGGCCTCAAAATCAAGCGGCTAGCAAGAAGTACCATTGCGGAGGTTGGCCCCTCTGAAGACAACCCGGTCCGCGAGAGCACGCTCCCTGAGGGAGGTGGGGAGGAAAGGGGGACGGAAAGGAGGCCAGAGAGAATGGAGGGAGATGAAAGAAGGTTGGCCCCTCTTAAGACAACCCGGTCTGCGAGAGCACGCTCGTTGCAAGAGGTGGGGAGGGGAGGGGACGGAAAGGAGAGTATTTTTCAGAATTTCTCAAGAACACCGCGCGCAAAAAAAAGGGGGGGATTGGAGGGGGACGGATGGAGGGAGAAGAGAGAAGGTTGGCCCCTCTGAATACAACCTGGTCCACAAGAGCATGCTCCCTGAGGGAGGTGGGGAGGGGTGCAATAGGTGGGGGGCGAACAGAGCGAAGGAACTGAATCTGTGAGAGGGGGGGGGGGGGACAAGAGGCTGGCTCCTCTTAAGACAACCAGGTCCGGGAGAGCACACTCCCTGTGAGAGATGGAGACGGGAGAGTGAAGGGGGGGGGTGCAGAGAGAAGGATTTGATTCTCTAGAGGGGAACAGGGGGCGGGGCGGGGGGGGGGGAGGAGGAGGGGGGAGGGAGGGGGCAAAAGGCTGGCTTCTCTGACGACAACCCAGTCGTCGAGTGCTGGCTCCCTGCCACTACGCCCCCATAGCACTGTGAGTCAACACTGAGTGCACTCAGTGCACATGCCCATTTGAGGTTAAGTAGATTAGCTTTGAGAGACGTCTCAAAGCTGAGAGCTCGCTCCCTGCCACTACGCCCCCATGGCACTCAGTTTCAACACAGAGCACACAGGCCCACTTGATTCTCGGCCGTCCACCAGTTGCCGCTCTTCAGGTTGGTGAGCTCAAAGCCCGGAAAGGTGGCGGCGCCGCTAACAAGTTCCCACACAAGTCCTCTTGGCACTCGGAGTCAACACACAGAGCCCCGGCCCATTCACACCGCAGCAGCTCACCAGTTGGCGTTCTCCAGGCTGGCGCGCTCGAAGCCCGGAAATTTGTCCGAGCTTTCCAAGCCCCTCACTAGTCGTCATAGCTCGCTGAATCAATCAACCACTTAACTATCACCGCGCCAGCACACAGCAAGCACGCCTCTGCCACTCACCAGTTGGTGTTCCCCACGTTGACCAGCTCAAAGCCCGCAAAGGTGTCGGTGCTTTGAGACCCTCAGAAGTGCCCTCAGAAGTGCCCTCTGCTGCTCACCAGTTGGTGTCCTCCACGGTGGCCAGTATTAAAGCCCACAAAGGTGTCGGTGCTTTGAGACCCTTCTGACATCCCCTTAGCATTCTGAGTCCAACCAGGGAGCGTATGCGGCACGCGCACTCACGCCTCTGCCACTCACCAGTTGGTGTTCTCTAGATTGGCCAGCTCAAAGCCCGCAAAGGTGTCGGTTCTTCCAGCGAGGTTCGATCCGCTCAGGTTGATTAGGCGGCAGTCACATGCTGGATGGTTGGTTCGAGGGGGAAAGGGGGGGAGGGGGAAAGGGGGTGAGAAATGGGATGGAAGAATACGAAGAAAGGGAGCCCGGTGCTTCCAGCGAGATTCGATCCGCTCGGGTTGATCAGGCGGCAGTCACATGTTGGACGGTTGATCTGGGGAGTGAGGCGGGAAGGGGAGAAGAGAGCCAGGGAGGGGGAGAGAGGCAGGAAGGGGTGAAGAGAGCCAGGGAGGGGGAGAGAGCCAGGGAGTGGGAGAGAGCTAGGGATGGGGAGAGAGCCAGGGATGGGGAGAGAGCCAGGGATGGGGAGAGAGCTAGGGAGGGGGAGAGAGCCAGGGAGGGGGAGAGAGGCAGGGAGGGGGAGAGAGCCAGGGAGGGGGAGAGAGGCAGGGAGGGGGAGAGGTGCAATCTGGTCAGGTAGATGAGCCGGAAGCCACACGCTGGATGGGGGATAACGTTGGGCGAGGGACGGGAGACGACGAGGGAGGGGGGACGGGGGAGGGGGAAGAAGAGGATGGGGGGAAGAGTTTCAACCGAATAAGGATGACCCGCTCAGGTTGATGAGGCGGCAGTCACATGCTGGATGGAAAAAAGGTAAGTGGGGGTGGGAAAAGGAGGGGTGTGGAGGATTAGAAACTCCAAAGGAAGGAGAGTGCAAACAATTTTTGAGGCGCCTCAAAAATCGAAGGAAGGAGAGTGCAAACATGCCAGTGCGCCGGAGAAAACCCACCCTCTTAGCTTGGTCGGCCGCCAATCCTGACCAGATCCGCTCCTCGCTCGTCGCCCCTCGGTTGGTTCTCCTCCTTATCCCCGACCCCCCATTGCTACCCTAGCTCTCGCCATCCCCCCCTCCTTCCCTCCACCTGTCCCTTGCCCTTCCCCCTGCCCGTCCCAGACATCCTCACCATCCTCCTTCCTCTCCCCCTACTGGCAAACACCCATCCCTCTCCCTCCGCCTCCCTCACCGGCAAACAAGGACCTGTAGAGGTCCCGATTGGACATATCCGCGCATCTCTCGTCCCTCCTCCCCCCTGCTACCCAATCTCCGCCACCCCGGTTCACCCCCTCCTCCCCCACCCCTCGTCACCCTCGTACAATCTACTCAATTCTGGATTGGTAAAGGTCCTGATTGGACATATCCACGCACCTCACTCTCGCCCGATACACCTACCTCCCTCCCTCGCCCTCCCCTCCCCTTACTACCCCCGCCCCTGGCTACCCCCTCCCCTTGCTACCCCCTCCCTTCACCAGCAAAGATGGACAGGTAGGGGTCCTGATTGAACATATCCGCGCATCTCTCTCGCCCCCCCCCCACACTGCTACCATATCTCCCCCCCCACCCCCTTGCACCCCCCACCCCCACCTCACCAGCAAAGATGGACCGGTAGAGGTCCTGGTTGGACATATCTGCACCGCGCAGATAAGCGTGGTTATAGGTCTGAGTGGGGAGGTGTGGGGAAGGTGTGGGCGGAGGGAGGAGGGGGAGGGGGAAGGGGGAAGAAGGTGGGAGGGGGAACGGGGGAGGGGGAAGGGGAGGGGAAAGAGTTGAAGAGGGGGTAGGAGAGGGCGAAAGCAGCAAAAAGCAGGGGATATGGGGATTTTAGAGAGTATATAATGGGATAGAAACGTCATTATCAACGTTTCATTACAATACGATGAACATCATTACAAAAATATGAACTTCGTTACAATAAGAACCTATCCAAGCCCACACCTTGAAGTCGGCAGGGGCCTAGCGGGCGCGAAGGGGCCCAGGGGGGCGCGACAGGGCCGAGCGGCGCGACGGGGGCCGAGCGGGCGCGAAGGGGCGCAGGGGGGGGCGCGACGGGGCCTAGGAGGCGCGACGGGGCCCAGGGGGCGCGACGGGGGCCTAGCGGGCACGAGGGGGCCCAGGGGGGGCGTGACGGGGCCTAGGAGGCACGACGGGGGCCTAACTAGCGCGACGGGGGTCTAGGCTAGGGCACGGGCGGAAGCGGTGGGCGGGGGATCCTAACCTAAGCTCTGATACCATGTTATTGTAAGAACGAATGATAGACTAGTAAGAGAAACACATGACAAATACCAGTTGGTTGTACTCATTAGAAGCACACACCTAGTCTAGTCTATAACTTCTACATATATAATATGTATAAGTTATCACTTCTGCCCGTCAGCTTTCCGAGCCAACCTACCAAAAGTACCCACAGAAAGTCCAGGTGAGTCTAGAAGGCATTTTACAGTACTTGCAATGCAAAGCTTCGATTGGCCTTCGATTGTAGTTCCGCTTAGTTTGGATAGCCGAAGCCTTGAGCTTCGATTCGCTTACACGCTGCCGTTTGATACGCTGCGCTGAAGGAGCACTACAGTACTGTATCTGGCCGCCCAATTACGTGGTTGAACCGACCACATGTGTCACACTGCACCCCGGCCAGTTGGTCTCTGCTACCCATTTCCGTACTTCAGAAAGCAGCTTCGCTGTATTCACCTCGCCAAGGCCAGCAGCGCATACGTCTTTTACGGCACGTCTTTTACATCCCGGGGATGCAAATCCGCAGCTGCTGCATACCCCTATGGGCACCAGGGTCACGTGCACGTTACGCCAGCTCCTGTTGAGTCGCATTTGTCCTCCAAATTAGGCTTCCGTCGAACACGCTTTTTCTGTTTCTATTAACAAAGCACTTTTTCTAGGACAGATCCGACGCTAGCGGCTCGCCATGGCACCTCAAGTTGAAGCGTGCGATGAAACGCGCGACGGCCACAATTTGATCCGCGCGCACCCTTGTTTTTGGGCGGCTGCTGCTCACAATCAGGGCACATGTTAACAGGGTAATTACCCTGACTTCACTGAAAATCCAAGGTTGTTCTGATACCGACCCTGTGTTTTCCAGGGCTTTTTTCAAGCCAGCCCTGAGAGAATCAGGGGGATGTATCTACTGACCCGTAGGAGTCCGAGGCGGTTTCGAGGGGTCCCGGAAATCCAGTTAGCCTATAGGGGGTGTAGGAATCTGTCAAACTTCCCGTTCTTCCCTTTCAACCTTAGCCCTCTTCCCATTTTCCCTTAGTTTAGCGGTTGGTTTAAAAATGAGCTGCCATGAACAATTGTTCACGCCACTCAAACTCGCCCCATCCCTCCCACCAAACCCCCTTTCTTCCCAGCCCCCTGGCCTAAATATAGCACCTTCATGTGCGTGATTCATCTGCAGCATATGTGCTGGTGAGGGGGCAGGTTTCCTATCCCACCCCGAAGTCGCCCACTAGCACCCTCACTATCTTGTCCAGCAAAGATGGGTTATAACATATCACGCCTTTTTTTGCACGGACCCTGAAGAATCAGGGTAATTTTCCTACGAGGTCGGATTTTACATGGCAATTTTCAGAGGGGCCCGGATCGTCTGAGATGGCGAAAAACCTAGCGAGAGCCCTGCTCACGATTCGATGTCCATTTCACAGAGCCGATCGGTTTCCTCGCTGACCCCCTACTCTGGGCTTCAAGTTTCGCGCGTCCGATCTTGGAATCTCCCCCACCCCACACCAAGGCCACCTGCGTTCTCGATACCTCAGCTTCACTCAATGCCGTTCATTTCAGGCTGCACGCACAAGGGTTGGGGGCACCTACCGTATTCCAAAAAGCAAGGTCGCTCGCTCAAACTACTTGTAGTAGTGCCAGTGGGTAGCACTTCGAGTTGGCTTTTCCAAGACAGGCAATGGACCACCTCTTGCTATTCTCAAAGCTCGCTTTCCCAACATTTTCAGATCTCAGGCCTCTAGGATCTCTTGGCTCCAGAATCTCATAATCTAAACTTGAAGTCTGGGTCCTCTTGGGACGGCCGCCCCTCTTTTCTATTCCGGACGGCCCCTAACTCTACTACTACGTCCCAAAATACCAGGACCATAAATATGGAATAGGTACGACATAGGTACGCCTTGCTATACGAACAACTATACCTACAATATAGGTGAGATCCATATTTTTGTGACGTACTGCGCAATGGCGGATCTACATAGGTCCACATGCATGGCATGCGGCTATAACGCCTCGCTACCCACTGGGTCAAAACGAGGTTACCAGAGGGGCGTAGCGGAATTGCACGTTCACATCTCACATGCGTTGCACACATCCCCCCCTGGCGCCAACGTCCTCGTTGGCTCAGGGAGTCAGCCCCGCAAGGACCTCGAGTTTTCGCTGGTGTCACAAGTTAGCGACTTTGCTGGTGATGCACAACGGTTACTAGGATCGTTCGCTGGGTTTGCCTCTGGCTACAGATTCAAGTTCTCGCCGAGGGCGGAAAATGTGACCAGCTGGGATTCGAACACTAGGCTCTTAAACCATTATGACGCCTTGCTACCCACTAGGTCAAAACGAAGTTACCAGAGGGGCGCAGCGGAATTGCACGTTCAGATCTCAGGTATGTAACAGTGGCAGTGGCATGCATGGGATGTGGCAGTGACATGCATGGCATGTGGCAGTGGCATGCATGGCATGTGGCAGTTGCATGTATGGCATGTGGCAGTGGCATGTGCGGCATGCGGTAGTAACATGTATGGCACATGGCAATGCCATGTATGGCATGCGGCATTGGCATGTACGGCGTATGGCAGTGGCATGTACGGCATGCGGCAGCAGCATGTACGACATGTGGCAGTGGCATGTATGGCATGTGGCAGTGGCATGTATGGCATGTGACAGTAACATACATGGCATATGGCAGCTCACCATGCATTGATTGCTGGCGATGACTCCCCCCCAGCCGACTGATAGTGGCAGATGAGAGGGCAGGCGATGCGCGGGGGAGAGGGAGGTGCGCCGAAGAGAGGGAGGTGCGGAACAACCATAGCAGCAGCAGCAGCAGCAGTAGTAGCAGCAACGCAGTGATGGAATACTTAGAAGTTGCACAGTCGAGCTGGATTCATTCCATCTGATGGGTGTGCAGAGAGCGAGTGGAGAAGGGTGGAGAGTGTATGAGGTGTGTTGTACCGAGTGCGCAGCAAATCTGACTTCATCCCTGCCCGCCCAAGTGAATGTGCGTGCTCTTGACGATAGCATGCAGATTTGGAGGAGGGGAGGATAGAGAGAAGGAAGGGGGATGCCGACGACATGCTGAATGTTATGTGCTGACTGACAGGCTTAGGTTTAGGCTCAGAATTAGGGTCAGGGTCAGGGTCAGGGTCAGGGTCAGGGTCAGGGTCAGGGTCAGGGTCAGGGTCAAGGTCAGGGTCAGGGTCAGGGTCAGGGTCAGGGTCAGGGTCAGGGTCAGTGTCAAGGTCAGGGTCAAGGTCAGTGTCAGGGTCAGGGTCAGGGTCAGGGTCAGGGTCAGGGTCAGGGTCAGGGTCAGGGTCAGGGTCAGGGTCAGGGTCAGGGTCAGGGTCAGGGCTTCAAGTCTGCCAGATGAATGTGTATGCAATTATAGACAGCACGCAACTGTGGAGGAGCAGAGCGAGAAGGGAACATAGGAGAGGGGCACGGGGGCAAGAGCAAGGGAGAAGATTGTGGGTTCTCTTAAAGAGGACAACCTGGATCGTTACCTTCAGTCAGTGGAGGCACCGCGCGAGCAATGCCAACAGAAGCATCTTTATCAACAGCATCAGCAGCTTGAGTATTTTGCGTAGCATGAGCATAACGAGCAACAGCATCAGCATCATGAGCAGCATCAGCATCATGAGCAGCACCAGCATCATGAGCAACATGACCAAATGCAGCAGCCGCCGTCGCCATTGCTACCGAGTCGCACCTCCTCCCTTTGTAGTACCGTTGCTATAAAGGGAGCTTCTGTGAAACCTGGGGAATCCTGGTCTGATTCCTTCCCTACGGCTATAGCAGCTGTAGCAGCAGTGCAGCAGCCCAAGGCCTTGGAACCTGCGGAAACCACCACTGGGACAGGTACATTTGAGGCGCATGCATCCTGGTCTAAATCCTTTCTAGCAGCGGCAGCTCGGCAGCCAAAAGGCCTCAGAAACACGAAAACCCACCACCGTGACAGAGACTTATGAGGCTCATGCATTCTGGTCTAATTGCTTCCCTGCAATAACAGCAGCGCACTCCAAGGGTCCGGAGCCCGCTACAACCATGACAGGTGCATCTGTGGAGTCCGCAACGCAACCCTAGAGTTTGGAACCCGCTACTATTGGCCCTTCAAGGGCTTCAAGGCAAGTGCAAGCACGGTTCACCGAACTATACTTCTAGTCGACTCCAGACACGCCAGCTCAGCCAGAGGGCTTGGAACGTGCTGCTCCCGGCAGGCCATCAAAATCGTCTTTGAGAGTGCAAGGACAAGCTTCTGCCAAACTGATAAAGTGCCCTGTGCCATTGCAAAGTAATGCTTTGAAGGGTTTGGAACCTGCCACCACCGGACCATCAAGTCCATCATTAAGGGCTCAAGCACGACCTTTCTCATACCTGGTGATGCGGCACTCGGTTACCATGACTGAATGT